GAAACCCCCCCCCCCCCCGCCCGCAGGAACAACGACGACGGCGGCGGCGGCGGCGGCTACGGTGGCGGCGGCGGCGGCTACGGCGGCGGCGGCGGCTACGGCGGCGGCGGCGGCTACGGCGGCGGCGGCCGGTCGTTCGGCGGCGGCGGCGGCTACGCGCAGAAGAACGAGCTGGGCTTCCACGGCGACATGCGCCCGTCGGAGCGCCTGGAGCGCGAGATCTTCCCGCCCAAGGAGAACACGCAGGGCACGGGCATCAACTTCAACAACTACGACAAGATCCCCGTCGAGATGTCCGGCGAGGACTGCCCCGAGCCCTTCGAGGAGTTCCCCACGGAGATCCTCGGCAAGCGCCTCTGCGACAACCTCCAGCTCTGCCACTACACGCGGCCGACGCCCGTGCAGAAGTACTCGCTGCCCATGGGCCTCGCGGGCCGCGACATGATGGCCTGCGCGCAGACGGGCTCCGGCAAGACGGGCGGCTTCCTCTTCCCCGTCCTCGTGGCGCTCCTCCGCGACGGCGCGGCGCCGGCGGACCCCAACGAGCAGCGGGGCAACTCGCGGCGCCAGCGCGCGCGGCCCAACGGCCTCATCCTCGCGCCGACGCGCGAGCTCGTGTCGCAGATCTTCGACGAGGCGCGCAAGTTCTGCTACTGCACGGGCGTGCGGCCCGTGGTCTGCTACGGCGGCGCGGAGACGCGGGGCCAGCTCCAGGAGCTCGAGCGGGGCTGCGACCTCTTGCTCGCGACGCCGGGCCGCCTCGTCGACTTCCTCGAGCGCGGCCGCGTGACGCTCTCCGCGTGCCGCTTCCTCGTGCTCGACGAGGCGGACCGCATGCTCGACATGGGCTTCGAGCCCCAGATCCGGCGCATCGTCTGCCAGGAGGACATGCCCCAGACGGGCGCGCGCCAGACCTTCATGTTCTCCGCGACGTTCCCCCGCGAGATGCAGATCCTCGCGGGCGACTTCCTCGACAACTACATCTTCCTCACCGTCGGCCGCGTGGGCTCGGCCTGCAAGGACGTGACCCAGCGCTTCCAGTTCGTCGACGGCCGCGACAAGCCCGACGCGTTGATGCGCTACATCTCGTCCCTCGAGGAGAGCGGCCTCACGCTCATCTTCGTCGAGACGAAGCGCGACGCGGACTACCTCGAGGACACGCTCTGCCGCGAGGGCTTCCCGGCGTCTTCCATCCACGGCGACAAGACGCAGCGCGACCGCGAGCTCGCGCTCCGCGAGTTCAAGAGCGGCCGCACGCCCATCCTCGTCGGCACGGACGTCGCGGCGCGCGGCCTCGACATCCCCAACGTGCTCCACGTCGTCAACTTCGACCTGCCCCGGGCCGTCTCCGACTACGTGCACCGCATCGGCCGCACGGGCCGCGCGGGGAACACGGGCTACGCCATGTCCTTCCTCTGCGACAAGAACCGGAACATCGTCCGCGAGCTCATCGACCTGCTCGTCGAGAACGGGCAGGACGTGCCCTCGTGGATGGAGAACATGTGCCAGTACTCGGCGGGCTTCGGCGGCTCGCGGGCCCGCGGCGGCGGCGGCGGCGGCGGCGGCTACGGCGGCAAGGACGTCCGCGGCGGCGGCCGGACGTCGTCCGGCGGCGGCGGCGGCTTCCAGATGCGATCCGGCAACGCGGCCTCCGGCGGCTCGCGCGCGCCGCCCGTCGAGCGGGACAACTCGGCCTGGTAGGCGCACCGGGCCCCCGGGCTCGCCGCGGGCCCAAGCTCCGCGCACACTCCCAAGCCGCACCTCGCGGGTCCACGGACGCGACCCGCCTCCTTCCGAAGCGATGACACGCGCGCGCCGACGCCGCCCGAAACCACACGCCACCCGCGCCCTCGGGCGCACCACACCACACGCTTCCCTTAGTCGCTTCGCTTCCCCCGATCCCATAACCCCCAATTGCCTTCATGCGGACGTGCGAGCCTCCGAAGTAGCCTCCGGGTCCGACGGAGTCCTGAGCCGCGGCGCCGGGCGCAGCGGGGCGAGCCGAACACGTAACCGGCTCGCTAACGCGCTGCCGCAGAGACGGCTGCGCCGCCACAGCTCGAATCGACGCTGCCCGCCGCCGCCCAGCGCTCCGCAGCGTCGCGCCCGCGACCCGCCGCGCCGCGCCGCGAACCATGGGCGTCAGCAAGGACGAGGCGCGCGCGCTCCTGAGCGTCGCGCCGGGCGACGACGACGAGGCCATCAAGAAGAAGTACCGCAAGCTCGCCCTGAAGAACCACCCGGACAAGAACCCCGACGACCCGAAAGCGACGGAGAAGTTCCAGAAGATCGCCGAGGCCTACAAGTGCCTCACGGACCCGAACTACATCGAGGAGGAGACGGGCATCACCGAGGAGGAGCTGAGGGCGGAGATGGAGGCGATGTACGAGGAGATGTACCGCCAGTTCAAGGTCATGTGCAAGATGAGCGGCATCCCCGCGCCGCCGCCGGAGCTCGCGCGGGCCATGATGATGGGCGGCGTCGCCGAGTCCATGGCCGGCGCGGACCTGAGCCCCGAGATGGCCGAGCAGATGCAGAACGTCATGGGAGCATGGGCGGCGGCGAGGGCGGCGCGCCGCTGAGCCAGGGCGACCTGGACCAGATGATGCACCAGGCCTTCGTCGACGGGTCCGTGAGCCTCGACTCCGACGACGAGTGGGAGGACGAGGACGGCCTGGGCATGGCGGGCATGATGGGCGCGGGCGGCGACGTGCCGCCCGCGGAGATGATGGCGATGATGGCGGGCATGATGGGCGGCGACGATTTGGACGGCCTGGACCCGGACATGGCCGACATGATGTCGATGATGGGCGGCCTGGGCGGCGGCGACATGGACGACATGATGGCCGCGATGATGATGGGCGGCGCGGACGGCGAGTTGGACGAAGAGGCGATGCTCGCGATGATGGGCGGCCTCGGCGGCGCGCCGGGCGGCCGGCGCGGCCGCGGGCCCCGCGGGGGCGGCGGGACCCCGTCCGTGCGGCCCAAGGTCGGCGCGAAGACGCGGCGCGGGGGCAAGAAGAAGAAGAAGGGCGCGCCGCGCGCGTCGACGGTCGCGCCCGACGCGCCCGACGCGGCGCCGCGGCCCGCGGGCGCCGCGCACGCGGCGAGCCCGGACGAGAACCGCGACGCGAACCGCGCCCTCGACGTCGGGTCCCGCGTCGACGTCCGGGGCGACCTCGGCGTCGTCAAGTTCGTCGGCGAGGTCCACTACGCCAAGGGCGAGTGGGTCGGCATCGCGCTCGACGAGCCCGAGGGCAAGAACGCGGGCACGATCAAGGGCGTCTCCTACTTCGCCTGCGACGACAAGCACGGCATCATGGTCCGCCGAACCGAGTGCAAGGTCGTCTGAGCGCGCCGCCTTTTCTTTTTTCGCGGCGCGCGCGCCCGCCGTAAATTTTTACCGACCCCGGGCCGCGCGCGCGTCGTCGTCGAGGAGGAACCGCCGCAGCGTGCGGATCGACGACGACACGGACGACCCGGCGGTCCCCGCGAAGGCGAGGCGCGCGCGCGCGCAGAGGAGCAGGTCCAGGTGCATCTCGACGTCCGGCAGCGCGGCGAGCGCGCGGCCGTCCTCGAGGCCCGGCGTCGCGGCGGCGAGCGCGACGTACGCGTCCTTGACGACGTCCCGGAGCGCGACGACGCGCACGGCCGGCGCGCCCCGGTCGCCGCCGCCCGCGTGGGCCCGCGCGGCGGCCTCGAGCGCACCGAGCCCGTCGCGGAACGCGCGGTGCTTCTTGAAGGCCACGTCCGACGCGACGTAGAGCGTCACCGGCAGGTGCTGCGGGCCCACCTGTGCTCGAATCTTCAACCCGACTCCAACGTGAGAGTATGCGAAAAAGCTTCGGCTGTGCTTGAGAGCAAACGAATCGTCCAAACATCGGCGAACACGACTCCGATGTGACGGAGCTCGACAGATGTGAAGTCTGGTCGTTTCCGGCGCGGGACCCCGCGCGCCGCTTCCGCGCCGCCTCGTACTGGGCCAGCAGGTCCTTCATGCCCCGGCCCACGGTCTGGGAGAAGCGGCGCTTGAACTCGCCGTCGCCGCCGCGGAGGTGGAGCGCCGCGTAGTCGTAGGTCTCGCCGGTGCTGTGCTTCGCCAGAGCCGGCGCGAAGCTCCGCACGGCCGCGCGCGTCACGGCGAGGAAGGGCGCCGCGTAGGTCAGCGTCGCGCGCTGGAGGCGCAGCACGTCCGGCCGGTAGCGCACGGGGTCCGTGTCGAAGCCCTTGAACGTCGAGCCCACGCGGAGCAGCGGGAAGTCCGTTTTGAGCGTCTTCCCGACGTCGCGGCACGCGCAGCCGCCGCGGGACCGCCAGCCGTCGCGCGCGCGGCACTCCTTCTTGAGCGGCTTCGGCGTTAACGATTGGAAGGTCCAGATCGTGTTCGAGCAGTCGTACTTGACCGTCGCCGACGCCGTAGACGCGTCGCGGCGCGCGAGGTCGGCGACGCGGACGAGGTCCGTGACGTTCGAGAGGTCGAGCAGCCGCGACAGCGACGCCGACGCCAACGGGCCGGGCGCCTTGCGCCGCTCGCGCTTCGCGGCGATGGCCTCCTGGTGCGCCGCCGCGGCCTCGAAGCGTTTTAGGGTGGCGTCCGGCGGCGCGACGTGCGACGGGCACTGGCCGTAGTGCGGCGACAGGCGGTGCGACAGCGCGGGCGGCAGCAGCAGCGTCCGGTTGAGCGCGTGCGCCATGAGCAGCGCGTGGAAGAGGTTGCGCCGCTGGTTGTTGAAACCGCCGTGGGCCGCGTACTCGAGGTAGCGCTCGCCGGCGGGCGCGGGCGAGCCCGTCGTCGACAGCGGCGTGCTCGACACCTTGGAAGAGCAGACCGCGGGCCGCGGCATCGTTGTTGCTGCTGCACCTCACGCGAGCTGCGTTCTACCCGCAAACGTGCTGCGCCTCAGCCCTCAGCCGTGCGGCTAGTCGTGCAAAAAACTTCGACCATGCCCGAGCGCGGCGCGGCCGGCGAGCCGATCGAGTCCTGCCACTCCGGCCGCGTCAGCTCAAGGTCCGACGTGCCCACCAGCGCCGACGCCGACAAGCGCCGACTCTCGCAAAAACACCGCTGCAAACCAAACACACAATGCCTATCGCTCGCCAGCAAACGCTGCGCGCGCTCGCGTGCCTCGCCGCCGCTTCGGCGTTCGCGCCGACGGCGCTCTCCGGCCGCCGCCTCGGCGCGCTGCGCGCCCAGGGCGACGACCAGTACCCGGCCACGGCGACGGACGTCTTCGTGGGCAACCTGCGCTACGGCACGGACGAGGACCTGTTGGAGGCCTACGTCAAGTCGCTGCGCGGCCCCGACGGCGGCTACCTGGACGCGGAGGTGCTCAAGGTCACGGTGCCGCGCGACGAGGAGACGGGCAAGGAGCGCGGCTACGCCTTCGTCAAGGTGCTCAACGCGGAACAGGCCGCGGGCGTCGCCGACGGCCTCGACGGCGAGGAGTTCGACGGCCGCGTGCTCAACTCGAACGTCAAGTACCCCAAGGGCAAGAAGCGGTGGGTCGAGAAGGAGGCCGTGGACCCGGCGACGCTCGACGACGGCGGCCTGCTCGAGAGCCTCGACTCCCTCGAGGACGTCTACGCCGTCCAGGGCTTCGACCTCCAGTACCTGCGCAACGCGTGCAAGAAGGTCGGCATCAAGGCCGGCGGCGACATGGAGCAGTGCTCCGCGCGGCTCTGGAAGATCAAGGGCCTGTCGCCCGACGTGTACCTGGACCCGTCCTTCGGCCTCGTGCCCACGCGCGGCGGCAAGCGCAACGCGGGCTTCCGGTAAGCGCCCTTTATATGTAGGCGCAGTAGCGCGCGCCGTGGTAGTAGGACGAGAGGAGCGTGTTCGACGCGGACTGGCGGACGCGGTTCCGCGACTCGCGGATCTCGCGCGACTCGGAGAAGCCCGCGGCGGCGAGCGCGGAGTTCTGCCACCAGCCGATCGTGAGGTGGTGGCCGAGGTTCGACCCGATCTCGGGCGCCGCGAGCGTGATGAGCACGGGCCGCTCCTTGATGCGCGCGCGGATGTAGGCCGCGGCCTCGAGCACGTCCGTGTACCGCTCCTTGTCGATCTTCGCGATGGGGTGGCCCGGCCGGAGGATGCCGTCGACGGCCGCGCGGTGGAGCACGGGGCAGAGCGCCGGGTCGATGGCCATGATGCAGATGGACCCGTCCTTGCGCATGCGCAGGGTCAGGCCGAGCTCGTTGACGGGCTCCGGGGGCAGCGTCAGGTCCAGCGGGCTCACGTACATCTTCATCATGTTGCTAAACTCCTCGAAGTCGAGCTCGCCGTCGCCCGAGTCGTCGAACTTCGCGATGAGCTGGTCGACCTGCTCCTCGCTGGGCACCTCGAAGAGCAGCGTCCGGATCATCTCCGGCACCTCCTCGCGGCCGATGGTCCCGCCGCCGTCGCTGTCGAAGAGGTCGAAGATGACGCGCATGATCTCCTCGTCGAGGTTCTCAAAGTTGTCGCGCGGCATCGCGCCGTGCTGCGAGCGCTACGTCTTTGCGCCGGCGGTCGTTGCTACATCCTCATGGGCTGCCGGCCTATTCGAACCACCATAACGCGGAGTTAGCGCTAGCAAAATAACCGCAAGTTTACAGCACGGTGAAGCAACGCGAAATTCAAAGAGCTATGGGCCCAACCGATAGAACTTAATCGGAGGCTCTGCAAACCATGCCGTCCCTCGGCGGCGTCGTCGCGAACCTGAAGAGCGACGAGTGGGAGCTGCGCGTCGACGGCCTCAAGCAGCTGCAGGCCCTCGGCGAGGGCGCGACGAGCGCCGAGGGCCGCAAGGCCCTCGCGGCGTCGCTCAAGGGCGAGGGCGTCGCGGACCTCGTCACGAAGCAGCTGCGGGATTTGAGAAGCGTCGTCGCCGCCACGGCCTGCCGCTGCGCCGCGGCCCTCGCCAAAGCGCTCGGCGCCGAGGGCACGCAGCCGCTCTGCGACGCGTGGACGAGCACGCTTCTGGCCGTCGTGAGCTCCGGCGCGCCCAAGGTCGTGCAGAAGGTCGCGCTCGAGGCGTCGCAGGCTTTGGTCGACGGCGCGGCGCCCCGGGGCAACGCGTCCCTCTTCCACCGCCTCTGCGACGCCGCGGCGACCGCGAAGGCGCCGCCCGCGCGCCGCGCGGCGTGCGACCTCGCCGCGCGCGCGCTCCGGGGCTGGGAGCCGGAGCCGGCTTTAGGCGCGGCGGGCGACGTCGTCGTCGCGCGCGCGCGCGACGCCGACGGCGCCGTGCGCAAGGCCGCGCGCGAGCTCTGGCTCGCGCTGCGCCACGCGGGGTTTCGCGAGAGCGCGGACCGGGCCGCGGAGCAGCTCGACGCGTCGACGCGGCGCCAGC